CCCCTCTAGTTCTTTGATTGAGTCCCCCTTCCGTTGAGTAGAGTTTCACCTCCTGTATAGGTAGATGCTACATTCTATTCTCAGCCACTGTGCCTCCGGGCATAGTGTTTAATTATGGTCCCATCTCTCCCAGTCTCCTCAGCAGCCCACCACCATCCTGCAGCAGCTCCCGGCGACCATGATGCCTCCTGGCTTGGCTCCCTCCATTAGGCCTGGCGGTCACGTCAAGGAAGGTATGGCAGACTGTCACCACACACAAACTACATCTCAAGATTTCCCCCACTCACAGCTGTTCATGTCTGCCTGTCACATTACCAGCTCGCTAGGAAGCACTCAGATATATTATTTATGGTCTACTCTTGAGCTTAGACAATTGCATAAAAAGTGCGCACGCATGAGTTTGTGAGTTAGATTGATGAATGTGCGCTGCAGCAGCTTTTAGTCAGACCTGTTTATTGCTTCTAAAGTCATCATTCAATTACTTAGAATGAGGTTTTGTAAGTCAGAGTCCCGAGATTCAAAGCAGCCTCTTTTTGTGACCAGCCACAATTTGCTTCAGCTACATGTACAACGTGTTCCCAAAGTGTCAAAAAATGTTACCGTCCGTACGGATTTTAGGAAGCAGTTATAATGACTGCCTGAGCCCAGCGATTGTGTCACAATCCAGTTTTTTATGTGTTCAGCTGCCTGAAGCAACTTTACATTTGAGTTGAAAATAGTGTGACAAAGTCAGACGTATGTCATGACACAAAGATCTGGTAATTTCATGATTTCTCACTAGATTGCATAAGTTACTGTGACTGGAAAAGGTGAACGGTGTTTTCATAACTTCCTCCCTGAAAGTCCACTATCCTGTTTCCAACGAATCGTTGATTTCTTAGAGAATAATTCTTCTAGACAGATCTTGTTAAAGCATGTGTAGGGGACTGATATTTATGAGTGTGTGCAATTTGGTGCAGATCCACATAAAATGACTGGCAGTGTTAAAAACACATGGGCTGACGTGTGAATGTGTTTATGTTAAAATTCTGGCTTTATTAATACGGAGCTGTCACTGTGAACATGTGATGAACAACAACAACACAATCAAAAAAAAATTTAAGCTAACAAGAAAATATCAAATTTGCAAATGCATATTATCTAAATTTTTCATTAATGCTATATTTAAGGCATGTGACTGATAAGAGCCAAGCTAATCCGGTCCAACCAACCATCACATGCTCTTTACATGAATAGTTCACAGACATTATCGTTTTATATTATTCATGAGCCTTACTTAACTTCTTTAAGATGGTGAAATATCAGAAAGTTTGCCAACTTCCTTATTGTTGCATCACCCAGCTGACAAACAACTGGCTCCCAGAGGTGTCCTTCATATCATCTGGAAAGCAGTTAATACGTTTTCAGGGTGACAAATATAAAGTCATGTATTAAATAAGCTTTAAAATGACAGTGGGATTTAATAGACTCTTAAAGCTTCATCAGGAGGCATATTTACAGGATATTGCTGGGAAGGAGTTTAATAGTTTAGCCAGATGAGTCATTGCCAAATGAGAAAAAAAAATGAGTGACAAGGAGATGCGAAAATGAATCTTGGCACCTCATTCACCCCCTCATTTTGACACAATGCGAGTTAATCACCTCGTCACCCGGCGGGGAAGAGGACAGAATGGCTGGCTGATGGAGGAGCTAAGACAATTAGGAGGATATTGCTGTGTTTGATTTTCTCACATACAGACCTTGTGGCGCTGATGATGATCCAGAACGCCCAGATGCACCAGGTCATCATGACCAATATGACCATGTCGGCTCTCAGGTTGTTCGGATACGCCGACCCTCTGCCGGCCCCTGAGGTGGGTGGATACCGAACAAGGGTCAGGGTCAGTTTGGTTAATAAATGTTGTCAGTTTTGATAAGAATAGATTTGGAAGAAAAGAAGAAAGACGAAAGATAAAAGTTTACATGATGTTAAAGTAAAAAATAACATCACCCTAATAATAATATCACCCTCCTGAAATAATCAAGTTGCTGCACACTAGTGGATAATCAGGCTGATTTTTCACCCTTTTTCGACGACCATGGGGTGATCACGACTGGAGGCCAGTTGGTGCCGATTATCCTCCCAGAAGTGTGAGGGGTTTACAAAATAATCTTAATGCTACTGATTGAGTCGAAGGCTCCACGATCTCCAATCGCAAGTATCAAACATGTTTGATATTTATAATAATTGGCTCTGACAGAAACCAACGACGGGTATACAATTAAAAAAGGTTAAATGTGTCATTATGTCGGTGGTCTCCCACGTTTTTTGAAATGGGTTAAGAGTTGAAAAAGCTCTAGTGCGCATCAGGCTTTAGTGTCACAAGTGTCCACAATGGACCCAAATGCAGATGACCTGAGGAGAGTTCCAGAAAACAGTCTTAAATTAGACTCACAGTTTTGGTACAAGGACAGGAAGCGGTATCCAAAATGCAGAAGCAAAAAGATAAAGTAAAGGGAGGCAGGGGAAACTGAACACAGGTGAGGTGCAGATTACAAAGGCGGGAAACAGGACAAAGACAGGAAGTAAAGCAAGAGGGAACTACAGAGCAAAATTTCAAAATAAAAACAACCAAACAGAACACAAATGTCCCAAAAAGGACCCCAAAAAACAGCTTGTTCATTTTACAGGTTAACTCGTGACACTGCTAATTTTATTTCTATTACACTTATTTTTCAGTTGAGATTAAAATCCGAAGGTTTCTGTCTGTTCTTAGTCCTTCTTATCTTTTTGAATAAGTCAACAAATCTACCTGTATAACTGTTTATAGTATTTTCATTTTCTTTCTGAACTTTTTTGAAGAATTCCACCTTGTTTTAGTTCTCTGAAACTCAACACGTGACATCAACTTCACTGCATCAGGTTTCCAGAGATCTGCTTATGCTATTCAATTTCTGCCAATAGAGCCCTTTCACCTAAATCTTACACACTGAACCTTTAAGTAGATTTTTTTTTAAATAAAACAGGAAAATAAATATTACTCAACATGCATTTCCTAAATTATCCAGCAGGGAGCAGCAACAGATTTTAATTGGGATGGCAAACACACTCAGAGTGACTCTGCATGCTATAGTGCTGATGTAGGCCAGAACATGCCACTGTGAGCAACGTAGCAATCATATGACAACACATTAAGATCTATTTTTGTGTAACACCGTGTGACCTTGTCATTAAATGCACTGTGACAGATACTTAAAAGAATAAGAGGCAGCACACCACCCAATCCCTGCAGGTGATGGCAGTAGAAGCAAGAAAATGTTGAAACGTGCATGGAAAAATTTCAATGCATGAAGTAAATTGAATATTTTCAAGAAAGAAAAATAAGTTTTGTGTTTTACTTGTTTCTAATGTACAGTTTGCAACTTATTGGCACAAGGTTTGCATTAACTTGCAGTAGCAGATTGGTGGGTGGAATTTTCCAAACGGGACGATACAGTGAGCAGGATGCAGCTGCGACAGCTGAGACATAGGAAAGAATTTCAATGTCAATTACATAGATTTGTCTTTGACAACACTCAACAGCTCAATACCCACATTCCTTGGCCTCCACTGAAAATAGTTTCAGGGTTTGAAGGTTCATTGGGAGTTTGAGAAGTGGATTATAACGTGACATTGTGGGGCGACAAGCACATTACTCCAGCAGCAGCGTGGGAGGGTAACTTTAAAGATAGGGAGTGAAGGCAGCACATCCAAATCTCTGATAAAACACCAGGATTAAGAGTTCAAACGAGAAGAACGTGCCAATGTGGCTGCCCCTCCTCTATCTCCGGGGCAAAGCCAGTGTTTACCCAGCTATTAATATCAAACAACCACATGCTGCCTATGAGGGGGAGAGAGGCACAATAGGTCAGGATGGGTTTAAGAGTCAAATGTGATTGTGAAGATGGATGAGAGACAGGCAGCTGATGGCAGGAGTAGTAAGTGATCATTTGGATTAAGTAAATTGTAGATTTAGAGAGTGTGATGAAGTACAGCTCCACACGCTACCAGTGGAACAGTGTGTTTGGTGTTGAAGACAAACACGAGAGGTGGAACATGAAAACTAAATGAGGGATGGAAAGTGGTGATGAGGGGTTTGTGCAGCATGTGGAGGACCCTGGGACAGAATCCAAATTATAGGAGACAGATCCCCAGCTATCTATAGCAGCATATCTGACATTTGTATCATTGCTTTTCTACCTAAAAGGCAATATTTTCTATATTGATAATTCTTACAATATCTTCATCAGTATCATACTGCTTGCTAGTAGTTCCTATAAGTTAAGGCTGGTAAATAAGACTGAGCAGGCTTTTGACTGAGTCTCTGGAACTCCTTGCCTGAGGAGATTAGACCTGCCAGCTCTTAGCCTGTTTTTAAATCATTGCTTAAAACATAATTTTATAGGAAAGCCTTTAATACCTTTTGTTATTAATACTTTAATATTTTTTTCTTAAGTATTTTGTAAAGCACATAGTAACCTTGTTTATATAGAAATAATGTTTTTTTATTATACTATTATCATTACTGCAGCTCCCCAGAGATCTTTCTGATATGTTCTGTTGTAGCCCATGAAATCACAATGTATTGTATTGTATTATTTGATTCTTTATGTATTCATATATATTGTGTATCGTATTATATCGCATTATATCATAGGCTACTGTATTGTATTATAGGCAACTATATCGTATTGTATAAACTACCATATCATATTATATCATATTGCAGGCTATAGTATCATATCATATTGTATTGTGTCGTATCATACTGCAGGCTACCATATTGTATCATATCCTGTTGTAGTCTACTGCATCATATCCTGTTATATTATGTTGCATCATTCTTTATGTTGTAACTAATGTTTGCTGTATTGATATTTGATTCCCACAACTCTCCATTCTAGGGACTCATTACTTTTTGTTAATCAAACCTTCAACACAAAACTTCCACAGTTGCATCTCAGACAGAAAACATACTGCGTTGAGCAACATAACTTTTATTTGTAAAAATAATAAAAAACTAGGGCAAATAATTCAACATCATCTCACACATTTCAAATTCAGTCACTACAGTGTCTGTTCCTCTATCGGATATGAAAGAGCTGCCACTCAGCTAACAAAGCAGATCAGTTAATACACAGTGAAGAGCAGGTTATCAGTTTTGTACGTCCTCTTGATTAGAGGTGTCTCTCACACTCACACAAGGACGCTCACACACATATGTACAGCCAGAGTGTGTGATCACACCACAGTGTCCTCTCAGAGACTGTCGAGAGCTTCTGGAGGCCTGACGGAGGCATGTTCTCCGAGCCCTCGTCCCTTCGATTCTCTCTTCCTTTTTTTCCTTCCCTCTTTTTACAGTGTGTTACCTGCCTCTGCCTTTTGCATCTGTCACTTTCTGCATCTGTCACTTTCTGCATCGTTGCATGCCTTCACCTCCTATTACAGGAATAATCCATTAGTCAAGTGACCACAAGAGCCCTTCCAATACTGTGCCAGGATATTTGCATGTTTCACTACAAAAGAAAGTGCATGCAGCATGATTAAGGTGCACCCAACAGTTGGGTCACAGTGATTCCAGTGAGAGATCAGTGTGTGTGCCTAGCCGGCCAGCACAGGCACACAATAGCCCATGGCACAGCTGAGGACACAAACCCTGACTCTCCATCACAAAGCAAATACCTTCACATAAACATTCCTAATACCACTGACCACCAAATGCCATCAATGACAAAGCGTGACATTTATCCTGTGCTGTGCTCACCAAGAGACACAGACTGAGCTAAAACAAATCTACAGTATGAAGGGTTTATGATGAATGTTTCTAGAATTAAATCTATATACATCTTCTCCTTCCTGACTCGCTCTGCTCAAAGACTATCCTCCTCCATCTGTCATCTTTCTCCCTATCATCATCTCTTTCTCTGTTTTGTCTCTTGTTGTTTTTCACCCTCTCTGAGCCTCCACAGACATGGAGCGACCCAGGGTTTTGGGGGCTTTGGCAAACTCCATGAGGGTCGGCTTGACTGGGGGCAGATCTCTTGTGATTTCGTCCACAGTCCTCTTGCTGGGACAGGCTCCGTCTGGGGTGTGGAGGGGCTGCAGGTCCTCCTCGGTGTGTGGGGCTCCGCGTCCGAGCCTGACACCCAACTCTGCCGGGGTGAAAATGGGCAAGGGGAGGGTATTTCTCTTAGGCAGCAGCTGGTGCTCCCTCACCCCTATTTCCAAGGTGCCCACTCTGAAGACACCAGAGGGGCAAATCTGTGTCAGGGAACGTGCCTGCCACTGCCGGGACAGAGTCTCCCTGCGAGATCTGTCGTTCATGTCCATTGTCTGCCTGCAGGAATCAGAGAACAGTTGAAGTTAGATCCTGTGGGAACATTGTAATCTACCAACTCAATCAGACTAATTGCCTGCTCATATCAGAGCAGTTCTACCAAGAATACAATCACACCAAATTATTGGGACCTCTGATTGGTCTGAGGGTCTCACCTTTCTTGAGGTTGAGTCTTGCAACTGATGCTGTTCCAGTCAGCTGTGTAGCTCTCCCTCTGAGCCCTGTTCTCCTCCCGTACGCTGCAGCTCAGCTCAGCTCCCACCACCACACCATTACGCTTCTCCAGGATAGAACAGATTGGCATCTTCTCTGTCTCAGATGTACCTTTCCCGGTAGGTCGTTGTTGATCAGTCCGAAGCTCTGGCCTTGTGTCTGAGAACAGGGATGCTTCAACTGGCTGTATCTTCTGGCTCCCGCTGCCTCTCTTTGTGTCATCTGCCTTGGCTCGGATCTGACGACAGCTTTTATAAATGTTCTGCTGCTATTTCTGATCCATGTTGTCACTCTACAATCAGCGTGTGCTGATATGCGACACCAAGTGCACCGTGTCTGAATCCCTGTGAGCTGGAAGCCACTCTCAGATGGGGTTAAAGGTAATTGACTGAAAATCCCTTAATTCCCAGATTGTATGCCCAGTCACCTCTGTGATGACTCAGCCCAACATTTTCCACTTCAGCTGTGATCACAGTGTCTCAGAAGGGGGGGAGTGTCACACAGTCACCCCCGTGTGAGGATTATAAATGAATGTGGACAGACACAGACAACAGGTTTAGTCTTAAGTCAAAGAGGAATCTTGATTAGGTCTCGGACTTGATGTATAAGCAGCGGGTAACACCTCGATAATTTCGAAAGCCCATAGTGATGAAGCTGCTCATATACAAAAAGATATTTCAGGCCTGTGAGTTGAATATGTAGGTTACAGATCAGGAATACCAGTAACTTGGTGATAAAATCAGAAAGGAGAACTTTGTGTGACTTCACCACACCCTGCTGACTTTTTATACCTATTATACGGTTCAGAGGGACTTTTTACGACAGCTGTGCTCTGTGACAACATCAGACCCCCTCATTAAATGCCAATACAGTGAGCTGCCTCACAGTAGCTGCGAGAACTCCGTCCCTGGTGATTCATTACCTCGGCGACAAGAGTGCCACACAAGCCATAATCAACTCAGGTTACAGACACACACACACACACACACACACACACACACACACACACACACACACACACACACACACACACACACACACACNACACACACACACCTCTGACAGTTGTCTGCTGGTGTGATGTTACAACTAGTCCCTGTGCCTGACTCATTCATCCGAATCAGGTACTTATATCATCAGATGGCACATATCAGATGTACCAGAAACCAGAAGTATGACAAGAGGTTTGATCCATCACACAGTCTTTAAAGGTTTATCACACTGGGGGTGTAGTGGTGGTGAATAAATGTTGCAAAACAATAAATCATCATTTAAGTGTTTTTTTCTTAATTCTGATTGAGTACAAGAACATTTTATTCACCAGCCTCCACTGAACGGTGCCTGAAGAAGCGACTGATTATGAACCGAAACATTAATAATACTTATATGTGCATACAGGTACATCGTAGTGGGTTTGAAACCATTTATTAAATGTTACATTAAAGTAGGAAATTAAGTAATGTTCCTGTCCACTGTTTATTGACTATGTCCTCTAAGTCATGGAACAGTTAAGAGCCAATTTCCCTCTGCTTGTCAAGTGTGACTGATTTCCAACTTTTTTTCAGCGGTTTCTGGACATCGCACATGTAAACTAGAATGTCAGTGTGAGAGAGAGAGAGAGAGAGAGAGAGCGAGAGAGAGCGAGAGAGAGCACCACAGGCATCCCTTGGGTCATGTGTACAGCTTTGTTATGACACCATGGTAATCATAAATGCCATTTCAGAAACCTAGTAAGTCAGTGTGCAGGGTCCTTTGCTGTTGAGATCACTTCTTTTTAGAATCAATGTGACACAGAGCAGTAAGTTTTTTAAATCGCAGACAGGCCAGTGCCATTTTTGTTTTAGATAATGCAGGAATTCACTTCAACTGCAAGAGGATATCATATGAATTTCACCTTGTTGCTGTTTTCTTTGGCCACTTACGCTACAGAAGCCAGGAATGTGGACGGGTCATGGATCAGCACATTCACAGCATTCAACCCCCTCTCTTTCATCCCTCATTCCCCCATCTGCACCAAACCAAGGCCCGGGTCCGGAAAAGAACTTTGTGTTGCGTAACAACACTGCTGCAACTTCTGGGAAGTGACATTTAAATGAGCAGTCATTAGGAAAGAGACATGGAGTGGGAGGGAGGGAGGGAGGGAGGGAGGGAGAGAGGGGCTATTGCAGGATAAAGCCCCTGGCCTGTCAGGAAATGGTAAATAAAGCTCCAAAAAATATTGTGAGAGTGCAAACGTCAGTTTCTGTCTAGCGTTGTGACAGATGGGTGAATTTGGGAGGACAGAGAGAGGAGCCTCCTACACAGGTCGTCCTGACACAAAGTGCTTGCTTTGCAGTTTAGAAGAAACTGAGGGAAAGTTAACTTTCTTTTGAATCCTGTATGGATTCTTGCACAATCCTCAACTTGACTCTGGCAGTTTACTCTGGCTCCACAGTACTTCACTGGTACTGTGTCTGCGTGCAGCAGACTGAAGCTGTGTTAAAACACGTTGCTCTGCAGTGTGTCTCTCTTGCATAACAACAACAACAACATCCAGCAGACCACCAAACACCATCATCACGTCCATCTTGTATCCCATTCTGGTCCCAATGGGAAGATCAAATGCCGGACAGGCTGTGTCTGTGGATCAGTGTGTGAGCCAGCCATGGGTGTGCAGGCGGCAGGCCATGTGAGTGCATAGTAACAGACTGAAGAAGACCCTTGTTTTCCTCTTGAAAGGAATGCCACAGCCACAGTTCAATGTGAATTACTGTCCTACACTGATTTTACTTCCATGCAGCAAATTTTAATTCACGCTTCAGACTTGTTACGATCCATACAAAGTCGTCTGTTATTCATTTGTCATTTGTGTTGAGTGGAAACTCACAGGGAGGGCGTCAGACCAACATAAGACATTGTACACATCAGGCTTTAGACTGCAACTTTATTTCATCATGAACTGGACACTATAAGACATACGCAAAGTGCCACTAGTTTAGAAATGTTTCACATTTTCAGCAACTTGCTGGAGGGAAACTAAAACACCCTCACATCACCTGAAAGTCACGCACACATTTTAAAAGTTCAACATACAGTACTCGCTACATTCTACCTCCATCTGCTCTTTTTTTGTGACTTTTATTAGTTGAGTATTACTTATACCGGGCTATTTTTTTTCTGTGTTGCTACCAATCATGTGATTGGATGAAATGAGTGCTGATAATCATAGGACAAAATATAAAGAGGTTCTGCTCAAAGGAACATTGCTACCCTGAAGGTTCACAACAGCTGAACAATAAACAGGCGGGGAACTTGGTAAAACATTTTGGTCTACAGAGAAAAACACACACAAAGTAAACATGTCTGTAACATTCACCTTAAAATCTGCTGAAACCCTTTTAGATTTTGACCAGAGAACACAGAGTAAAACTCAAGCTGTGCGGTTGGGGGAGAAAAAAAAAATCTTCAGCCTAAAACTTCCAGGGAGCAGCAGCAACCCTGTATGAGGCACTTGAAGAAAGGAGCTATGCAATTCACCCAGGGTCTCACGGGTTGATGACTACTGCCCCCTGCCTAGTGTCTGTCATTATTGCAGCCAGTAGATCTTTAGGATCTGTCACTTCCTTCTCTATCGCTCTCATCATCGTCTGCCCCGTTCATGGCCTCCACCCTGGCCAGCAGCAGGGGCAGGTTTATGCCAAGGCCTGTCACTTCCTCGTCAGAGTCATCCCTGGGCGGATAGAAGCGCTTTGCCTTTGCCAGGAAATCTTCGCCTATATCTAGATACAGGAGACGATCCTGTGAAGACGTGAATGAGACAAGGGAACTGTGAATGTCATTATTGTCAGAATATGTCGTTTCAAATGAGTTTTTTTACTGCATTCATGGAATTAAATGTTTAAACATGTATCTTATAGGAATCCTATACTTGTACAACCCTTCTTTGAATTTAATTTTAAAATGTTTTGTTTGGCAACGCTTTAAACCAAACCTTCAGTCCCAAACCCCAAATTTAGTTCGTTAGGATTGATAAACCATATCCAGTTGAGAGGAGTATGTTATGCACTTTTAGCTGTTTCTTTTTTCTTCTTTCCTCCTCCATTATATCAAATCTCATCTTTATTTTGTTACACAGGGGTATGACCCCCAGTTTGGGAAACTACTAAGTGCAAAGGAAGCAAAAGTATAGCTTCAACTCAAAGATCTAATACTGAAACATGTAATGATACATTAATCAAATTAACATTTTAGTGTGAAAACAGAAGTTTTTTTTTTCCCTTCGATACCTACATTACATTTTCTGGCAACTATTTCATATTTTTCTATTTTTGTCCCAAAAGTTTTACATGAAGCAACATTATGCAAATATTTTAAATTAAAAATATGAGCTTCAAAACAATTCTGAATGCACAATGACTTGTAATATGGTGAGTGTGGGGAGGGCCTGTAACTGAATGATTATTGGCAGATTTAACAGCTGGGATAAGGTCCAGCCAGTTCGAGAGTACTGCCGAATTGAAGATCTCAGAATAAGACTCATCATTTCATCAAATCATTGAAGAAATAGCATTCATCTCTGATAATTAGTGAGAACACTTAAAATATCAAGATTTCACAAGGGAGTCTGGCTAAGACTCATAACAGATTTAATAACCACTTATGGCTGCAGAGGTCACTGTTGCTGAACAGAAATTGACATTGTTGCTTTAAGTAAATGTTGGGTTTCTTTAACATCAGTGGTGTAACCCACAAACACCCAAGGGTGCTTCTTTTTTTTACCCTATACGCTCGTGCTCCAGAGAAGGGACACTTGTGTTAGAAAGACATGCATGAAATGTTAATGGAGTTCCTGCTCTCACCAGGATGAAGAGATATCTCTCTGGGGGCGGGGCTTTGCTGTCAAAGATGGCCGTCTCGGTGTGGAGTGCCTTGAGGAGGGCACGTGCTGCCGGAGCATTGCGCATGCGGTCATGTGACGCGCCGGCAGACACTGTCAGCAGTGAGTCTGCCTCCGCCATGAAACCTAGGGCAGACGATAAAAACCCATTTATATTTCTGGTACTCTGCCTTTAGGTGGCGCTGTATCTCACCGCTCACCTGTCCAGTCTTACCTAGATTCTCCAGAATTGTCCTCCACTTGTCTCTGACCTCTCGCCGGGTGTCTCTCATGGCCTCAATGTCGCAGCTCAGACGACGATAGCCCTAAAAAAAAAAAAAAAAGATTTTAAAAGTTATGTTGCTGGATTTTTATGTAATTTCTAGTCCACTGTCTTGTCATTTCATAAGGGGAGCATTATTCTTCTGACTCGTGTGTTTCATAGCTCATGATGATTCATCATAAATTTATTTTTGTCTTTGGACCTTGTGTGAACAAATTCAGCCTGTTTTTTTCAGGACACAGCATAACCTGAGGTTGTTTTCCACTGCTGCGTTTCTTTATTCACCCTCAGGTTAATGTGCGTGAATAAAGCCTCTCAAGACACTTGTCTATGTGTCCAGAAAGGCCTCCATCACATACCGTGGATCCCATGCGGGTCTTGGTCCTCGCCTGCAGCAGACCGTAAAGGACCCGGTCGTCATCCCTCTCTGAGTGGCTGGGGTCTCCCGGCTCACTCCACAGGTTGGTCTCCTCATCCCGACGCTTCTGGACCTCACGGTTAAAATACTCCAGTGGGTCCTGACTGTGTAGGATCAGACACCCGAGGATACAAGTATTACACACACAGAATGAAATGAGAGGAGAGAGAGAGAAGGAGAGAGGGAGAGGGAGGGAGAGAGAGAGACACACACACACACACACACACACACACACACACACACACACACACACACAGACACACACACCAGGAAGCAACCTTCTAAAAATGAATGTGAATAAAAACAATGACATTACAAGTGCCTACAAGTAATACAAGTTCTATTCTGGTCTGTCTAATGGCTCTTACGGTACTAATGGCTGCTTCTCATCCTCATCATCTTCATCGCCAACACAACAGCAGCAGCAGAACTGCATGCAGAACTTTTTAAAGGCAGCACCCATCTGAACAGAGTAAGTGAGTAGCAGGTGTTCCCAGTGTCAGATAATCCAGAGGGAAGTTGTTACACAAGGGAGTTTCCAGTGTCTGGTCCGATGTGTCTGAGCGTAGCCCCACAATGCCGCCGCCCCTGAAGACAATCTGAAGAAATGCTGAGATTCCGTAGAAAGGGGAGCTTGTTCACAGCCTGGATGATGAAAAAAAATGGCAATGTAAGAAAATATAGCTGTCACAACTTTTATGTCGTCCACTATAATTAATCTTATAAATCACAGATGACAAACTCCTGGCAAAAATGATGAGAAAGGACAAACAGGTAAAAATAAAAAAAAGTTACAAAAGGTCACTGATCCCCAAACTCTACCTAATTCTCAGTTTCCCATTTTCAGGGACCCCGCCGAGTTCTCCACATCCAGTCGACCTTCGTCCTCCAGATCATTGGCCAGAGCCTGTCCGGGTAGTCACACTCAGGCAGATGGCAGCCCAGGGACTAGTGCTTCTCATCCGCCTTACATGGAGGACAATGAGAGCAGTGAGGCGCTCAGTCTCTCATCGATTCAAAAACATATTCACACACCAATAGCCTCAGAAGACAGTCACAGCACAATCATGTGAGCGGCTCCATCTCTTCTACTTAGCATTGTGTTTTGCCCTGAGGTCAATACATCTCCTCTTCAATAGGCCCAATGACATCCTCTGTATTTAATCTACCATGGCTGTATTGATTCAAGGATTACTTAATTTCATTGTATGTGGTTACTGAGATAAACCGTGAATCCATTTACAAATGGTTGAAAAAAAGTCTTTTTACGGAGTTCTTTGCACGTCTGAACATTTAAGACGCTTGCCCTCTGTGGTTTATTTCATTTTAAAATGTCTGAGAGAAAATGCAGATTTCTGGTGAAGGAATCTAAGCTAATATCATGTCTTGATGTGAAGGGTTGTTTTCACGATTTTGCAAAGGTAAGTCACGCATGTGACATAGGCTCGAGTCACACGGTACAATTGTTTATGACATTAACACCCTGTGGCCCAGTGCTGGAAAATGTGGGTGGAGATAACACAGCAGTTCCTAGTGACTCATCACCATCATCTTGTCAGTGTGGGGGGGTTGTAACTAGAATTAAAGCTTTGCGGTTGTGGGCTGCCACCGACCAGTCAAGCTACAGAAAATATGGTCGATCTCGGCTTCTGCAACTGAGTCATAGTGTTGATCAATAGCCAGGAAAGTGTCTCTGTGGAACATTAGGCCACAGTGAAGTTGACTTTTGATCCACTAAATACATTATGTCATCATTTAAATCTATTACAAATATGGTAAACATACTTAGCATATGAAATATTGAGTTGTAGTCAAAATGTGCCTTATGGTGTTACTTGAACTTTCTGTTTGACCTTTGACCACCACATGCTAATCAGTTTCTCTTTTGTACAAAGTGGACGTTCGTTTTGTTGAAATTTCCTGCAGGAGTTCCTGTTATATTGCGTTTACACGATGAAAACAACCAAAAAACATAACTAGTGGGACGTTCAGAGAGCTCATACCTTCCCCAAGGCTAACCCCCCCCGACTCCGCACATTAGAGAAAGTGAATAGTAATTCCATAATCTGCCCGTTTATCTAAATCTGAAAAAATCGATGGATTCGTCATACCCTATACCTCTTCACAAATTTGAAGGAAATTTATTAAGTCATTTTTGTTTTCATTATAATTGATTCATCAGTTTATGGTTTAACTGTAAAAGTTTAAGCTTCATTAAGGGTTTGATGACAACATCTTAGGAATCACTGCTAAGTTAAAAACAATCTTTGCATGTAGTTGTAAATCATCTGTAGATTACCGATCTGATGTTTGTAGCATTTACAGCAGAAAATCAATGCAGCATGTTTTAAAATTATCAACAGGTTATATGTAAGTTAAAGGAGGCAGAACTTAATCATGACTTTGTATATTTTATTAAACATAAGACACTGGTTAAGACTCAATAAAAACTGTTGGTCAGTTGTGATGGGTTTAAATTAACATGTTTGATGAATGATCTATGATAAATTACATTCAAAAACTATTAAAAAGGAAAACACTTCACTTAAACTTAAGTACTCTAAGCATGTTTCATGTGAATATGGCATACATCAACATGACAGAGTAAAGCAAAAGAAAAAGACAGACATGAATTGAGAGTGATAAAAAGGCACCAGAACGTTGATATCATTAAAGCATTTCATTTAATATTCCTTCCGTATGATAAATAGCTAAAACTGATTTCAATAACCACGTGTTTTGGACAAGTAATCCTTTCAGATGGTGGACACTTCTGAGTTAAAAGTGAGCGTGCTGTGGTCATCAGTTAGTTAACACCCATAAGATATGCTCCTTCAAAGTGTGAACAAAAAGTAGTGTTCTGTCTGGTTCAACGCTGCAGTAATTTGGACCTATGGCCAGGTTTTGTGAAATTATTAAAAAGATTTTTCTGAGGTACATTATAACACTGAGGTGCAGATTTTTGAAGCAAAGCTAAAACACAATAATCAAAATAAGACGTGATAGAAAAACTTCAATCCTCCCTTTTGAGGGCCTGAGGGGAAACCAGTACTAAAGTCAGCACATTCAGAACTTTTGATGACATGAATGAACTCAGCTTTTTTACCACAAGGCCACTTGAGGTTAATGGGACAAAAGTACAGTTCTGAAGCGTGTACAGCATCATGATGTGTGAGCATTATAATCATCATCTTGTATTAGTCGAGCTTGATAATGCATTTGCTTCACATACTAACAACCTCCTGGTTGGATCTCCTGGCAGATATCAAAATGCGACACAAAGGAAATATTGATAAAACCCTCAGTAGTAGTTGTTTAAATATTAGTTGATCTGATAAGTCTTTGCACTTGAAGAAAGGTAGCCGTCAAACTGAAGCTGCTTTCAGACATTTTCCTGAAATTTACTGGAGGGGCTGAATGTGAGAAGGCAAATGTCTGAGTCAGTTGTAGCAGACAATGCCAGAGTGAGCCCATGTGATGATACATGTTGAGCGATACGGCGTGCTGAAGATGTTTTAACATGTGACGAATGCAAAACTGAAACACAAATAGTCAGAATGAAAAGGAAGTGCCATATACACAGAGAAAAAAATGTCAACTTGCAATAATAACAAGATTTGAGAGCTGTTAGTCATATGGTGTCAATGTGCTGTAAACAAAAACATGTAATTTCCACAGCAGACTATACACATCATGTCCTGCCAGCAGCATGCTCTTCCCAGATGCCACCCCTCGCCTGAACGCTCCAAAGAGTTTTCTGTCTTTGAGGAAGCGTCTGATATGGACAAAGTCCTGCTGCATTCTTCATATGTGAAAGGAAAACTCTGGAAAATGACCCGACTCAAATTTCAAATCTGAAAACGGCTTCAGAGGCTTTCACTGGGTGGGCAAGTGGCGTCTTCCTCTAGTGGTGCTCCTTTTAACATCTATCACATAGTTAAATGGAAAACAGCTTTTACCTCTTCAGATGACATGTTTCTTGAAGGTGTGACTGAAGCGTGTGTTTGTTTTAGGACCGGCGCACCAGAGAAACATTTTAAACATTGCTGAGAAAACACAAAAAAAAAAAGCAGCAAAGAATTGGCTAACAGCGTGCGCAGTAAGATAAGGCTCAGTCACACCATTACATCAGTCATTTTAAAACACGTCACACGGATGCCCACACAGTGAGAATCAACCCCATCTTCATCTGGGTCTTCTTGTGTGAGTGATGTTTTCAGAAAACAGCTCTCCTTGTACGGCGAGAGGCAAAATAACATCAGGTCCTCTCAAAAATATGTATGTGATCACACGAGAAAAAAACCAACATTGTTGAGCTTCAGTAAGAAGAACATTGTCTTTGAAAACCGAATTACTCCTTTTCTCATGTGACTGAAATGTGGTGAATGCGTCGTCACATGTCTCACATCTCCTATGCTTCCAGCTGCAGTCTCTTCCGTTACTATGGCACATCCCTTCGGCTCAAATGCATCACAAGAGAACTGCTATGCCCATTTTCTTGTGTCCCGCTGATTTTAATATACATATAAAAAAGCCCAGTAGTAATACCTCCCAACCAGCTGTGGCACAGTTTGGTGTCTCTCCTGTTTTACATGTGGTGGTGGGAGCGGAGAGAGGGCCGCAGGTCAGCGATACGTTGGCGTAAATGGGACATAAATTCAAACATGGTGGCAGCTAAACTCTGGTGAATGAGGTAGCGGGGCAGACGACCCTGATGAGACAAAACAAGACAAAAAAAAGTGAGTTGAAAATATATGCATTTTGTATATTATTCATATCTTACATTTTTCTTTGGCTCCTCGTTTTCTGGAATTTAAGTACGTATGATATATTTATTTCTGGTAATCTAGTATATGTAGTTATATGGTTAAGTTGTTTTTCTGCTTTCACCATTTGCAGCTTCAGCAACCCATTTTCTATAAACGAAATGTTACTTCTCTTAGTTCGTACAGACGAGTCATTCTTGACCTTTACATGAGAAAATACTAGTTTTAGCAGAGTTTTTACCTTCAAGTCTGTGTTGAGGACCCAGATGAAGGTGCAGACAGACGGGTTACTGCTGGATTTGAGGACTACAAATCCTCCAGGACCGTTCTCGCCCCTAAGGCCAGCAATAAGAGGAAAAGAGATGAAAAATAACCAAACGCAACTTGAGTTTTATTAAATTGATTAAATGTTCTGATCTAATGCATCAGTGACAAGGAGCCTGGCCAGAGGCATGTTCTGACCTGACGAAGCGACCGCATGGAGGCTTGGTGTCGTGGTCAGTTGCCATACCCGCAGACAGGTAGCAGTCTCGTTTGCGTTCCACCCGTCGAACGTTAACAAAGTCCCTAAAAGAGGAAGAATGAGTCAGTGGACACAAGGGACTAGTGAAGCGTTCTGTATGCTGAGCTGACATACCTGGCAGACACAACTCCCCCCGCTGCTCCAGCAGAGACGTCATACGATACAAGTGTGTTGTCGTCAATCCTCTGGAGGATCTGAGGAGAAGGAAGGAAGCAGTGTTAAAATTAATGATGAAAAATGCTCAAACAGTCACAAAGACTATTTAAAAACACGTCACCTGGCAGGCTGAAACCGTTTTGTTCCACTGGACCATCTTCTCCGGCTGCAGAATCACCTCCTGATACACCAGCTCAGCAGGACACTGCATGAAAGCCTGAATCAAAACAACAAAACAAATCAGAAGCAAGCATGTCAGCATCAATATGAAAATGTGGGCAATGCTTTAAAGACGAAAATAAAATATGTGTGGAAATCATGGGATAAAAAACTACAAGTGATAACATCAATCTTGATATTTGGTTGGATGTCCTCCAGCCCAGTTTTCAATATTTCTGTCAGAACTCAAATAAATTCTGCCACTGACGCTGGTTTCCTGGCACAGTCTCCTCTTTGTTGATCCCCAGAGAATGAAGTTATAACTATGGATTTTTAAAATCCACTTTCAGCTTGGAAAGGCCATTTTAAAACCACATCTTGTGTATTTATGATCATTATCCTGGCGGAAAATCATACTGTCCATAGTCCCAACACAAACTGGACTCATGGACAACTGTTTGATCAGATGAACAGACAGAGAAACAGAAAAACACCCAGGCCAAACAGAATGTGTGTTGTTTTTCATTTCGCGCCCATGTTAATAGGTTAAAGCAGCTACTGCTCACATGAGCCACGCATGCTTTTCTACTTGTCTTGGCTATTTTCTCCATATGCGGTTAACAGCAAAATTTACAGTAAAAAAGATCCATCTCATATTGTCTATCAGTTGAATATATCACATAACTATATAAATACAAAATAGATGACATAAATATATATTATGTACAAATAAATATATACAACATAAATATTTCTAAAAGTTCCTTTGCCAAAGTGAGAGCACTCTAGCGTTTCTTTTGATTGAAACCATTTATATGTATTAAAAAGGTTTTCATTGTGAAATATTTGCAGGACTGGAGGATGCACGGGTTCATAGTGTTCAGTCGTGGTATTTAGTTGAGAACATAAGCTACTTTTATTCAAAGAAATAAAGAAGTCACAACAGAAACCTCATTTAGCAGCTGTGTGAACTACAGACGCACGCGAGACGCAGCAGATCAACGACGCAGCAGTCACGCTCTGTATACGCACTCAGTGTGTTGCAGGCATTAGAGTCTAACATTCTTGATTTAAAATACCAATTTGTAGTATTTTAAATCAAGAATGTTAGACTAAGCTTCATTAGATCCCTCTGCAATAATGACTGTGGCTATATTATAGGTAAGTCACATTTATGTAGACAAGCTGTATCCATACATTTAAAAAGTGATGTCATATTTAAAGGTACTCTGTGGAGTTTATGACCACAGGGAGCAGAAGTGTGGGTGCCTATATTGTTCATTTAACACACTTACTTAAAAAGTATGTGTTACTCTCACTACTAAATTATCTGTTGCAGATATTTTTTTACATAACCCAAAAAATGCATTGAATTGATTTTCCAATTTTCTTTGTCTGAGAACTTATTTTCTGGAGGGGCACATGCTCGAGTCATTTGCTCCAGACATTTTGCGGAACTTTTCCTTCCAGCCCCCCCCCCCCAGGAAAATATTCGGACAATCACAGTGAGTGAGTGCGTTTGTTGATGACATTTCTCAGGGTGAAGTTATACGTCATGTCCTGCCTCCTGCATGCTCTATCTATCCAGGCACCACCCCTTACCGCGATGGACATTTTCCTGTTGTCGGACTGTAAACGTGTCGGATTCGAAAAATGTGCTGCTGCATTCTTCATATGTGAAAGACAAATGTTTTCATACTTGAAAACAGCTATTAACATACAGCTGCAGGGGGCATACAAGTCATCACAAGTCCAAAAAAAACTTGGTTTGATTATTGTCTTCTGTGTACATTGGTTTTTTTGTTTTAGACAAGGAATATAATAAGACAAACAATCACAAAAATAAGTCTTTAAGGCAGCCTGATGGATCGATAACACAAACACACAGAAGTGTAAGAGGTTGCAGACTTTGTTAATCATCTACAGTGAAAACTCTAAGTTCCAGCGTCAAACCCTTGAAAACCAGAGCGCTGACTTCAAACAGCCTTTAGTTATGGAGCATCGTGTAACATAGTGAATGAGAAATTAAACATGCTAAATGAACTCCTTTGTAACATGACTCTGGTTCCTCTGGTAACTTCTTATTTAACAGCCATTTGTCTCGATTACTCCACCACTGTGCCCTCTAGAGGTTGGCCATGTACATGCATGTCTATCAGCTGCACAGTGTCAGTATTTAGTTCTGGCTGAGTGTTCCAGAGGACTGTGACAGCAGACGAACAGCCTGATCTGCTCATTAATGTAGCAGTTGTAAAACAGAAAAATGTGCACGAGGCACAACATATATTTATAGCATGTCTTAACATGATGAATATGCACAGCTCTGTGGGTCTCCTTTGACTGCTGGAGTTTACGTTCTCATGGGACTCAGTTTCACTTTGAAGACAAAAAGGAACAGCCGTACCTTAAGAATGAAAGTCTTTCCATGGAAGGGAATCTCCAGGGTGTAGACAGAGTCTCCCATGTCCTGCCATGAGGAAAGACAGTTAGTTTCATGAGGCTTTTGCTTCAAGGAGAATGAAGTTAAAGGACAACTCACTCACTCAAAATACAGAACCATCTATTTGGTGAGGACATTTATATCATGATTTTTGCATTCTTTAAAATACCACATTGAGAAGAACAACATTTCTGTGGTGAAGAACATTTTACAGTTAGAATTGGGAATAGATCTGGTTGCTAACATATCTAGTTTGCATGAGAAAAGATTTAGATAACTGCATAAAAGAATTGTGGCAGAAAGTTCTAGTTTTGGAATTATCTTATTTCTTCTCTTGAAACAAGCTATGGAAGCTCTTGAAACTGGATATGGAAAATACCCCATTAATGTTCAACATTCAATACTGATTGATCCTACATATCTGAGGTCAATACAGATTGAGAACAAGAATATTGAGAATATAAAATCTAATATTTTTAAGATAAATCTTAATTTGGATCCTGAAGATGTTATTTTAAGAACCATAACCAATATGCTACAAATCTGGAGATTTCCCAGTTGTGAAAGCCTTCTGGTGATCCCACTAAATCTAAATAACTGACTTCAAACCAAGTTATTTTTAAAATTCTCAGATCTTCCACTTCCAAGGTGATGTCGATAAAAATTAATATTACTATGCTCCGTTGTCCACATGCCATTGACTATTGCTGGCTCCTGCTCAGTATTATATCACTGTTCCTTTCATGCAACGGGATTTAAAATGGATACTGGAGACTCCTGACCAGTCAGTAAAGTTAACATTACGTCTGCAGACCCCTTGCACTACAGGATCATTGGAGTAGATACTCTTTTTATACCAGCCATAAGTCAGAAATTCCCCCACATCAGTCTCTCCTCTAGTGTAAATTATCCTCTATTGTGAAGGCAGCATAAGAGGTAAGACACTGGACTTTATACCTCACAGCCCCTGGTATTAAACCCATAGGTTAATGCTAGGTGTAAATTAACGCAGGACACACTGGTATGATTAGATCTTGATCACCATCAATGCAAAGACTGGCAGATGGGATGTCATTATTCAGAGGAGGAGAGAAGATGTGCTTCTTTTGGATAGATCAAATATAAATTCAAACACACACATTGTTCTTTTCAAATTTCCAGCCATCCTCCTGGGCTAGGATCTGTTCGACCACAGACAAGGCCTCCCGACCCTGTCTGACGTACTCCTTCTCCTGCAAGGAGAGAGACGAAGATAGAAAGAATGGCCGTCATCATCAGGTAAATAAAAGCATGAGTATAAAAAAGTTTTCACACTGATGCAGGTACCTGAGCGGTAACGGCTCTACGCCCAAGACCCTCCTCATCCAGATCCTCTTCAGAGCCTGCAGACAAGTTCAGGGTCAAAACTCAAAAAGGGAAACATACAAGCATACTGGAATAAAGCAGACTGTACTTGAGGCTGATAACTCGTATATAATAATATATAAGCTCACCTGCGACTGATTCAGGTGGGGAGTAGAACTGTCCATCTGAAACAGCACGGGGGTAGATCATGGGAGCCCGTTCACAGGCCGCATTCACCGCTGCTAGGTAGGCTGAAGTTTAAAAAAAGAATAGGAGAAATTAATTTTATGTTGGGTCGTGTTCGAACTTGCGTCCAGTGTCTTGGCTCCCACCTCTTTCGTCCTCAGCCTCCTGTGTGAGCACTTTGAAGTCAAGAAACCAGGTCTCCAGCCAGGCCACCACAAAAGAGGTTATGGGCAAAACGTAGCCAAAGGCATTCTGGGACAGCAGCTGTGTGGAGACAGAAACAATGGGGGGGGGCTTATTTGTGTTAGTTTACTTGAAAATAATTAAATCTTTGAGCTATAAAACTATATTACACTGAACAATAGAGCAATATAACAAAACATATCCTTATCAAGAGAACAATACTGGCACTGAGCAGAAGTGGAAAAAGTTGAAGTGGTTATTGCAACACACACACAGCTGCTTAAGTGTCACACTCACATTAGATACGATGACCTTTACAACAAGAAAGACGCTGGTCACCAAAGTGGTAATCTGTGGGGGAAGAAAGATATGAAAGTAAAGTGTGATTTATGTCGAGCAGTGATCAAATGTGATTTACAGTATTTCTTCTCTGTGCGTGACTAAGCTCACTTACCGCAATTACCCACCAGTGCTTTAACCGAAATGCAGCGTAACCCACTTGTAGAGACAGGAAACGAAACATAGCGAGAAGCTGAGACAGGCAGGAAGAAAAAGAAAATGAAAAAAACGTCTTGGGAATTTAACACATGTTGCAGAAATTTTATCTTTCTCCTCTTGTGTGTGAATGCAGACATGTGACCACGCCGGACATCTCATTCAGATACCCCGCCTCCGGCTACATGACAATATAAGCATCTGTTTGCTATAACTGGTCATTCAGGTTTGAGAATCTGATCAGCTTTACGCAAAAAAGGTATTAATTGCAATGATGTTATTGTAAACTGAAGTCCAGTTATATGTACACAGATGTGCATCGCCCCACTTACAAAGATGTCGAAGAAGGAAGACTCGAAATGATAACGGACAACTTCATTTTCTAAATTGACCCAGATGTTGTTGGAGATCTGCGGAAAAATAGAGGGAGGAGAATCCAAATCAGAGTCAAACTGAGTCTTAACCATGGAGTTAACCAAAGTCAACACTTACGTTCAACTCAATAATCCAGAGAAGCGATATGAAAAGCAGGTCAAACGTCACAAAGAGACAGAAGGTGCGGCGAACGTCAGAGATGACCTTGCGCTCAGCAGGTGGTAAGAACAGGTACTGGGACGGGATGGACATTGATGTAGAGTAGGAGGCGTTCAGGGAGGCGATGGCAGGGAGACTGCCCCCGAGCTCCCCGTACTCTCCGCCCGGCATTCCTGCGGTGAGACAGGAAACTCCCCCTGCACAAGAAAGAGATAAAGTCGGTGGGCTGTGTTGGTTATATTTAGCAACGCTCTCCTTCTGTATGAACATTTAAAAACGGGGCTAAAAACCACCTACAATCATAATAAACCCACTGAAAGTTAAAAGAAACAATCTCCCTTCCAGTGTGCTGAGCTACAGTCGAGCCCAAACAATAAAAAAACATATCACAAGTTTCTTAACTGATAATAACATTTATGTTTTGAATATTAAGTCATTAATTGAGTGAGAACATTTTCGAGAATAACAAATAAGAGGCAATAAGACGGACTAAAGCTCAGATATTAGGAACATTATACTATTCTGTGATTACGTAATTATGCATCACTGTCATTGTTGTTCTGAGATAAAGAAAACACAAGTTTTCGTTTATTTTGATGAATTTGTACTGCTCACACTCTTCTACTTCTTCCTGTGTGTGTGTGTGTGTGTGTGTGTGTGTCTATGCATGAGTATTGGTTTCCAAAGTTAGAAACAGATAAGAGCGGCGAACACATCTCTCGCTGCAGTCTCATGACTTTCACACCTCACCACAGGCCATTTCACCAGGCTTAATATCCAGAAATACACACAATTCTTTTTTTTTTTTTTATATTTGGATAATAACTCTTAGTAAAACGTGTTTTCCATTTTTTTCCATGACACTCTTTTTGATTTTGCAACATTAGGTTAGATCTTCTCTCCTCCGTCCATTTATTTTTAAAGACCCATCGTGCCTGACCACGCTATTCTACGCTTTTATCGATTCAATCATATCCTCTTATTTATATCTGTGTTTTTGTTCTGGGTTTCTGAAAGTTAAAGCAAGTTAAGTACAAAAAACATGAAGGTATCAAGATTTTACAATCTACGCCGCCAAAAATGTTTTCTTAAAAAAGTGTTGAATGAACATTTGGGACTTTTTAAAGCTTAAAAATCGGATGATGAAATGTTAACCTTGCAGGAACCCTCTCATTTGATCATCCTTGTATTTTTATTTGATCAGATGGATGCAATCAATATCAAGTTAAGTAAAAAAAAAAGTGGAATATCGGACAAGATGACCAACTACCAGTAAATGTTAGCAAGTGTTAGTGGCCACCAGCAGATGTTAGTACCTTAGCGTCATAAAGTGTTTTGGCCTTGTAATCAATGATACAGGCCGAACTTGAAGGTACGCTGAGGCTAAAGGTAAATCTGACTAGCTACTGGCTTGTATGGCAGCACTATAAGAAGCCATGTCACCCACTCAGTAGATCAGATATCAGACAGGATGCATTGACAAGCAAACATAGATACTGTAGCCTGACAGATTATACAGAATATCTTGTATCCTCAAAAAAACAAATGAAGAGTAAACGCTGTGGTTGTCAAGGGTTTGACCTCTGATGCAAGACTGGATCTAACTAAAAACACTGTTTGCTTTCAGCCTTGTGTAACTCAGCGTGTTTTAGTCATGGAGCCTTTACTGAAGGACACTTGCTCCATAAAATCTGATTCCTGTCAGAATATCGAGCCTGACTGTTGTGAACCCAGTTAATCCCAACCACTCAGTGTTTATTGACAATAAACGTAAAGACATATGGCATCATGGGTGATCTCCAGATCCTCGTTTACCTCACAAACTTTGTAGAAATGTTTATAATTGATGTTTAACGCGATGAATTAAACTTTAGTAAATGTAGTTTCAGACCCCCCCTCCCCCGCTAACTCTTCTCCCCTCACTTCGTCTGGTAAACAAACTGTGTGACGCTGCTCGCCTCTCAGCTAACGGGCTAATTGACGTCGGCGAATGGAGACACACACACACACACACAAGCTGAACAGAAAATATTCACCCGAGTCGCTGCTACCCTCTGGTTTTCATCTCCTGTAAACAAACGCTGACGAGACGAAGCAGCCAACGAAGAACTGACCGGCCAGAGCAGCTCGCTACCTCAGTTAGCTTCCACCGGCTAACTCATCTTCCCTTTCTATCCAAGTTAGTTTCACTTGCTAACTGTGTGGTGACACCGTGAAAACAATGGAATACAGACATTATTTTAGAAAAACTGACATTTGCTGGCAACGCCAGAAAGTGACGGTGAGAAGCAGGACATGTAGCTAACTTGACTCTACCTTAGAAACTATCTAATAAAGGCTAAACTTCAGACATTAAAACTCACTCGATTCACCGGATCATCATCCTCGCTCAGCAAGTCTTCCGGGTCTGAGCTTTCAAAGACGAAGAATCGCAACAAGATGAATCACTGCCACCTTTCAACAGAGCGAAAACCGCAACACCGCGCCCCCAGTGGCCCCAGAGCATAACTACATCCCCGTGCGTTTTCATACAAGTGTGTGTTAGGTGGAGGACGGAGAGAGAAAAGCGACACAGGATGAAAACAGTCACCATTTAAAAAATATATTGGTTAAGATGCCAACTATAACAATTAAACATTACAATTAAAATCAGTATGAAGATCACACAACGTTCAGAATATAGGAAATACAAGAGTCTGACAAGTTACAGGTTAGGAAAAAGTAAAAACTCAAATATTGGAGAGAAGAGAAGAGAAGGGCCAGGATAAACACTTTTTTTTACTTAGGTGATGTTTAATCCAGATCCAAGTCCTGAGGAATCTCACTTATCAAAATGTGTCTTACTGAGAGATTCAAAAGAGAATAAGGAGTCCACCTGACCGATCTCATTAGGGAGACTGTTCCAATGAGTCAGTGTCCTAAAGGAAAAGGGTCCTCAGTTGTGGAGTGAGGCCATCACTGAGGACCTCAAGAGACATACGACCTCGAGGATTCATTCTGGTTCCAGATGTTTCATGAATCTTATTTTCCCCTATGTCCCCCTTGTTTTCTTTTCCTCATATCTCTTCTCCTCTTACTCCTGTGACTATCTGTCGGATAATCCCCTCATTCACTGTGTTGTCCTAACACATTCCAGACAGATGTTGGTCCAGGGGTGGTGCAATGATAACAGTGCAGCAGTTGATCCTCTTCCTGTTCCTCTGCTTTTTTCCATCACATGTTTCAAGACATTTCTGGACATGTCCTCGTCTTGTGTGTAGTGAAGCAGCAGACACAACCTTTTGTAGAAACCCTCTTTCAATCAGATAAAAACGGGTCGAAGTCACACCACGCTACTGAAACATTTCATCTAAGTAACTCTGGTTTGCAAAGTTCTTAACAATTCAAAATCAATGATAAAAGTACACACAGGAGAGTTGTTTAAGAACATAAATCAATAAACGATAAAAGCAAAAGGAAGTCACACAATTTTGTATGTTTGACAAGGCCCAACAGACTCCTTATGAAACCACATTTAAATTAATTAGATTCAGATTTATATTTGTATCTGCATCAAATTTAGCACTAAACATGCTTGTTTTATTCATCAAGATCCTTTAATTGTTCTCTGAGAAATCATTTAAAATGTTAAAAAATTCTCTATACATTTATACATTTTGTGGATCCACACCAAATGTATTTTTCCTCGGAGAACCCTTCCAAAATGGCATGCAGGATCATTGTGTAGTTTTTGCACAACTCTTTTTCTAATCTAATTTTTTATTTTTTATTTCCATGACAGCCCATTCTAAATTGCAATTACAATATCAGAACAGCAGATGGTAGATTTGTGTCTTTTATCCCCAACACAACACAATGCAACACAATATGTATGATACCAGTGCAGCTCTCAGGTGCAGCTTATACCAACAGAACCTACTTATTGTGTGATAGTATGTTACATAACTGGATCTGAGGAGGAGAGGAGCGACGAGTCGAGGGAGGTGCTGAGCGACGTGCCCCTCTCCCCTCCCTCATTCGTGCCCCTGAACAGAATTATCAGGACACCTGCTATAACAGCACAAAGCCTCTCTGTGATCCAGATTAATGGACAGTTTCACCTTTTACAGTGATGGTTGTCCCTGAAATCCCCGGTGAAGGTATCAGCTTATTACCGCCGCAGCTCCCGGCAGGTAGAGAGAATTAGGTGGAGTGAAAGAGAGAGGGGTTTTTGGAGTGGACTCTAATAATGACATTTGTTTGATTAGATTTTTTCATTTCCTGTTCCTCTTGTTTTTAGCCATACTTAATTCAGAATGCACACTCACGTTGTGTTTGGTTTTTATAGTTTAAACTGGGGGGTGGGGGGTCTGAGGGGCCTGACATAGCCACATGGTACAAGATGGCACCCTTTCTGACCAGATAGAATTACACACTTCTTCCCAACCTGTTTCTGGCATGGTGTCTCCAGTGTACAGTATGTGCGTGTGTGGGTGTGTGTGTGGGTGTGTGTGTGTGTGTGTGTGTGTGTGTGTGTGTGTGTGTGTGTGTGTGGTCTGTACAACGCCCATGTCACATATTTTGCAGCACAGCATGTCCCCTGCACTTGTGGCTAACGTTGTTATCAAACTCTGTGTTCTCTGTGTTCAACAATTTAATGACGTGCTGGAACAGAAAGATACGAACGCAGTGCAGCCCGAGCAGAAGCACGTGGATCCAGAAGAAGATGGGTTACAGCCATATCTGTAAATACACATAGCAGCAACAGGAGTAGAGCAAGTGGCACATTAGAGGTAATTGGAGGCACAAACAAACATGGACACCGTCCCAGGGAAATTGAAACCCACAAACATTTTGTAGAGTGGCTCCTACATAACAATATAAGATATTAAGTATTAATAAGTTAAAGTGGCACCGGAAACATCACACTGAGGTACACGAAAATGTTTTTATATTAAAGTAATCTACTTCATTTATCTGTTTAAAGATTCAATTTACTGAAGACTATTTAATTTATTTTTCAACTAAAGCACTTTATTGTACCTGTCAGTGGCTCTGCAACAGGTTATTATGTTGATATCAAACAGTCCAGGGAATTTGTACAATGACGCATCAGAGTTTGTAGATTTGCCAACTGATGTCTCTGGTAATCGCAGGTAAAGGACGACACATACGAACAGAAAATACATGCAGTGTAGTGACAAATTGATGGAATAAAGCAATTTAACAAAAAAAAGTTAAAGCAATTTTATAAAAGAGCGTTTTGAAAGATTTTAGAAAGATGATGCTGAGGTTGATTGACTGAACGTGTGTTTTTTATTTCCCATAATGCATTTTTGCCATTGATCCCACATGTTTCCTGTGTCTATTTTGTGCTTTAATCTGTTTTCTGTGTTTTAGAATGTTTTTTTTATTTCATTTGCGGCCCGTGGTCTATTGGTCAAAAGATATATCGTACCACAATAGGACCCTTATGGTTTGATAAAGGATAAATAAAAAGATTTAAATAAATATTTTCACAATTTTTTGCTTTGACATTGTTCGTTGCAGTGTCTTCCAGCAAATCCAGATTTCAGGATGACCCACAGCATTGCATTTGACTCTGATCTGACCCTGACTGCTCTGTAGCTGAGATGATGAGCAGACCAGACATGTCGACCCCCCAGGAGTAAATATTGTTGTCTGCATTTTAAACAATCGGATTTGTTGACGCCCTAAATCTGAGTTTCTGGTGCTCTAATCCAGCCGCTATGTGTATGGTGTTTCTGTTCTTACTCAACTTTCGGTAAATATACAGTAGATGGTTCCAGTCTCTTGTATTAGTAAAACACAAGCTAAAATCTTTCACTGCAAATTATTATAATTATTGTAATATGCAGCAAAACAAATTCAATTAATACTAATAATAGGTTTCCCTTGTCTCTGAGGTTTCTGTTCCAGCAACCTCTAAGGACCTTTCATGAACAAATGCGATTAAGCCACAGATTTTTGATTTTCTTTTTATTAATTTTTCTTTATCTGCATTTACTTTGCCCAGTCAATTCTCAAACTGAGCCTGAAAGACACATTTTATTCTGCCAGAGAACTGTGATTATTTTTGGAGATTAAATGCCTCTTCTTCTCCGATCACAGCTGATCATCCTGTTTTTGTTTACTATGCCAGACTTCAGCCTGCGTTTGACTATTTTAATGTTCTGTCTAGTTTTATCTTGGCTTGTCCTCGAAGATTTGTTCATTGGGATTGTGGACCAAACGCTTTCTGGTTTATTATAATAAGTTATTCAAGGACCATTTGATGTGAAAAAAAGAAGAAACTTTTTCATCTAAACTTGGAAATTCAAAATAAAGCAAGTCCTGGTGAGCACATAATGATGCAAAATGGCAAGTGACACTGCATATTTTCTCAGAAAGAAACGTAATACCCACATTAAATGATGTTTGATGTCTGCTTGTGCAGCTGAAATGTCGTATTAGTGTACTTCAGGACAATGTGACGTCAGTGTGAGGTGTGGCAAAACAGAGCTCACCTTTTCTCAACTACCTGACATGATGCCCAGAGGTGACGCATTCAGAGGCGGACATGACGAACTCAGGGCCTCTGCCAGGGCCTGTGTTTGTGTGTGTGTTTGTGTCCTGTTTTGTGTTGCAGTGAAGTGAAGTGTTCGACTGGCATTTAGCTCCTGCCAGCGTCTTTAGTTGAATTAGCTATTTTTGCTTTCTAAGTTAAATGAGAATTACAACATTGTCAAATCAAATCTCTTTGTTTTAATTAAACCACCACTTGTTTTTCATTTATTTGCTGTGGTCTACGAGAATAACATGGAACAGACTTTCAATCAGAAAGGGCAGCAAAATATCATTGAAGTATGTATTGGGATAATCTGGATTTAAAGGTTCAGTGTGTAGAATTTAGTGACATCTAGAGGTGAAGTTACATGTTGCAGCTCACCCTCTTCTCCCAACATAAAAGAGACCCTGTGGTGAACTTCAGTTGTCTTTAAAAGGTTTAGTTTGTCCAGTTTGGACGACAAAAAAACATGGCGGCCTCCACAGAGAGGACCCCCTCGATGTAAATATAAAGTTTTTAATATAAAGGTCTCATTCTATGGTAAAGATAACAACAAATCATACAATTTAGATGATTACACACCAGTCAAAACATCACCAGGATAAAGTGACTAAATATTACGAATTACTTCAGGCAATGATTTGGCACTTCTGGCCGTCTCGTGGCCCAGACAAAATGGAAGTGAGCCTAAAGTTGCCCACTTGTAAAATTACAAATATCCCAAAACAAACGTGCTCCGGGCTAAGTATAACCTGGATGTGGACCTAAAGTGGCCCGTGTGGTAGATGGCCCAAATAGCACAAAACAATTTCGGTGCCACCTTTGGTTAACATGCGGTATTGCTATGACTTGTGAACCCAGAACTGGCAGACAGGAGTGGACCAGACTAAAGCGCCATCATGCCACGCAGTATGTGGGCTGGATGGCAGTGTAGCAGTGTGGACCAAATGTGGGCCAAAGCAATTTTGCTCTGTGTGTGTCTTCCTGGTGCTGACCCGACACCAGCTGATCAGCTCTTTGTTGTGACGTCAATACACAGAGTGACCATAAACCAAACAAGTGTGTTTACACAGAGATCAGGTTGTGAATGTGTAATATATTGGTTTACATAGAGAACAAAACCTGCTCAGACACGGTGCCGTCAATACTAAATGAGGCGTCTCTGATTCTTAACAAAAGGCTTAAATAAAAGATCACAGGACAAAACGTTCTCAGCCATGTTTCATTTGCCCTCTTGAACAGAGCCTCTTACACATTCCTCCTGAAACGTTGCACAATTCCTGACCGAACACACTTCACCTTGAGCAACCTCACTGGACCGAGATCAAATGGCAGCGAGTGAGTGAAAACGGTTTAATTTCTTAAGACTAAGCACTCTGTGTTTTGTTTGTCATAAAACTAAAACAACAACCTCTCAGGGCTCATGTTTGCGGAAAGACGCAATAATGAGCCGCCACCTGCAGGCATGTGGAGGCGGCACTTCATTTCCCTTTGCTTTGGACAGAAGTGGCTTTGTAGCTGAGTCAAACACCCAGACAAACCTTCGTCCACCCCCTCATGGAAAGGGTGAATAAATAACACGTTGGCATGTTCAGCTTGCTCCGACTGGCAGGATAAACACACAGTTGACTATTGAATATGTTTCTGGACTCACGCAGTTGTGCTCAACCTTGACCTTCTTCTCTTTTTCTGCCCACGAAGCTCCTCCAGCCACCAATACTCTTCCTCTTCCACCTCCTCCTCTTCTACCTCCACCGCAGATATCTCCTTCATTTCAGCCCGTGCCAAAGCTCAACTCTGCCCCAAGGCCAAATACACATGCTCTCCACCATCCAAATCCCTCTGCCATGTGCAGAGCGAAATAACAGCAAGGCCCTGAAAATAGAGCTGGAACTGCCCCTCTCTCTCACTTTAACACCAACATCAACAACCTGCCTCCACTCTCTCCACACTAAGTTTTAGTCAAGCTGTTTGCAGGTTAAAAAACATTTTAATGGCATATTGTCTATGTTAGCATTTAATACATTTCTGGGGCTTTTATTGAAAACCACTGGCTGTTTACCATCACATATTAAACTCCAAATAAATCCAGTGATGTCAGGAGCATGAGCTGAGCTGCTGGACACCCGGTGTACATCCCTCCCTTGCATCCTCCATGCATCCCTCCTCTTGTTTATCCCTCCTTGCTCTCCCCGCTCCCTCCCTCTCCCAGCACAAATCTCTCATTCACAAATAGAGGCCAAAAGAGGCTCAACTGATGTGATGAGATTATTATTTTTTTCTCTGATTACAAATCAACCTCAGCTTAGAGAGACAGAAAAACACATCACTCCCCATACCTCATGCAACATCCTCTTTTCCTCCACTATATTCACTCTGGCCCCTCCTCTCCTCCCCTCACATCCCCGCCTTCTTTCGGCCCCTCGGCCCCTCCCCTCGGTCGCCTCCCCTCCCACTTCTCTCCCTCACAGCCACATCCAACTATGTGTCTCATTCAACTCGTGCTGCACAGGTTGTGAGGGAGGAGAGAGAGCAGGAGAGGCAACTGCAAGAGAGAGAGATAGATAGAAAGATAGATAGAGGACAGGTGTTGAAAGAAAAGAGAGGATCTGCTCACTTTCATGTGTTCTCCAAGAGAAGAGGAAGGAGTCAGGGTGTGAAGGAGTGAGGTAGGAGAAGAACAAGAAAAAGTTTTCAGGAGTGGGACTACCCAGCAGTGGGAGGTTTCTCCAGAGAGGGTTGTAGTGTGATCTTCGGCAGCGACCCCTCCTTTCCACTGGGAGTCAGACCCCCAGGGATCCAGAGCCATGGACCCGACCGAGATCGATGGGGAGAAGAAGGAGAGGAAGACGATCCACTTTGCTGTGCCATCCTCTGCGCCCACCAACCTGGACCCTCGGCAAGTGGAGATGGTGAGCAGACTGGAGGGTCAGGTTGCTGTTTGACCCATGAGGAGATGATTTGGTTTCAGTTCTCAGCTTTGATTTGTTCTTGTGTTGAAGTGTCTTACATCTGAATTTCGTATTGTCTTTTCCTTTGCTCCATTTGAACACACCGTTGTTCCTCTATCACCTTTCCTCTCTGCTTTGTTTCATCTTTGACAAGTTTCTCATGCAGTCTTAGATTTTCTGACTCCATCTGCCTCACAGTTGAGAAATGATGGTGACATTTCCCCCTCTCTCAGTTCCCTCATGAGATTATAGCCTTGTTGTCTCATGTTGACTTGTTTGACAATGTGACACTGACAATAAAGTCACTCACTATCTTGTGTTTGAAGCCAGATCACTCTTTTGTAACAGTATCAACAACCCGTTGACATTTTCTGTGTCATGCGCCTGCAACTGCTAATACTTTCTCTGTCATATATTGTGTTAGAACCAACCTTCGCCACAGAAGTGTCTATTAACTGACTCCGCATTCTCAGTATCATTCTGTGAAATGTTCATTTTTCATAGTTGATAGTTCGTTATGGCTCTGTTCTGTGGTTGGCTCTTATTTTAGAACAGGGGGGAAAGTGGGACAAAGTAGGAACCGTTTGGTGCCGAGGTAGATCCAGGCCAATGGCTCGTCCCTCCTGAGAGCTTGAGGAGAGATGGAACAGGGAGAGAAGAGAGAGACAGAGAGAGAGAGAAGTGCCGAATGAAGCTAATGTGGCCCATGTGAAGTTGAGAGAAAGAGAGGAAGATTCACAGCCTGATCTCTGGGTTCACCTGTCTGTGGGGTCAGCTCCCTCCGTGTCTGTCCCTCATTTACAGCTTGCATAAAAGCACTTCTAATAAAATACAGTCATCCAGAATCATCATCTCCTCACAAGTTTGTTGTAGATAACACAGAACAAAGGTTTTTTTCATGGTAGCGAAGCAAGTGTAATAATTGCACTTTACTCGAAGCATAGTAAATTTTCACAAAACAAGTTGTCTCATCTCTTCACATCTCTGGAGACACTAATACTGACTTATAAAGTAAATTAAAATATTTTGCAATGCTTCACACAACTCACGCTCACATTTACAAACCCTTGCTTTCCTTCTTCCCCTCTGCAACTCTGATGCTTGTTTTCTCCTCTAAGAAACTACAGGATATCAATCCACCATATGTGAGCTGCTCCTACAATTAGAAAGAAAAAAATCACTTCCGTCTGGTTTTGGGAGGACCTTAATGCTCAATGGTCAAACAGTGATCAGCTATTTTTAGGCTCTTTTTTCTGGCTGTCCTCCAGCAGACTTTACCTTCAGATAGGTTGCATATGAGCTGTGTCTCCTCTGTGCTACTGTCAGGGACGCCAGCTTGCGCAAGCATCAGGACGTGTTTCAGGAGCATAACAAATCTTTTAAAAACGGTTGGGTGTGTGAGAATGCATGCAAGTGGATGAATGATGATCGTTGCGACAAAGCAACAAATAGGGGATATTGGATTCTGAATGGGAGTCCAGGACAGGATGTGTTTGTGTGTGTTTGAAAGCAGATAACAACAACCAGGGGCTGATGGGAGTCTCCAGGGACGCGTGGGTGTGGCAACGGGTAACAGTTAACGACACTAATTTCATTGCTGTCTCCTCCCACGGCAATTACTGTCGCCCACAAGTCCTCTTGTTTCTGAGAAGTTGCTAATGACTATACCATTCTACAACACCGTAACTCCTCACTGGGTTTTTTTCCAATGGCATTTAAACCCCAAAAACTGCTATCGACTGAAGTGCCGGGGCTTGTTACTATGGAGATGAGCTGCACGACTATGTCTCCCAGAGCTCCCCCGCAGTTGGCGTCTAAAAGGTCAATTTTAATGTGCAGCTCTGTCTGACTGGATGAGGTGTTTACATTGGTGGTGTTGCATGTTTGTAGATATGTATGTTTGAATGCTCTATGGTGTTAATGCTAGAGGAGCATCTCTGCCACCCACTCAGTGAAATATTACATACGTGGGAGAGAACAGCGACTATAAGTGCATCCTTCAAAGATGATATTCTCGCTCAACACTTCTGAATATATTCAGAATATATTCTATTTTGTGTGTCTACAATGTCAACAATAAAAATATCCAAACAACCCTTAATTACTTTCAACTAGAATAGTACACACTCAGCGGAGCGCATACCAAGGCCCAGCAGTCCCATACTAAGGCTCAGTGTTTATGAAAAGACATTTAAATTCATTACATTTAGATTTAGATTTGGATCTGCACCAAATCACACCCATTCATAAATATCATTCCCCTAGACTGATTTCTTTCATGAAAATCCATGAATTATTCTCTGAGAAATCAGCAAAAATGATCCAAAATTGAATGGCTTCTTCTCTGACCCATTCCACATCCTTCCACCAACTTTTGTGAAAATCTGTCCTGTAGTTTTTGCTTTATCTTGCCAATGAAAATATAACATCCTTGGTGGAGGTTACTATCTAGATTATCTTGATTGTCTTGGTGTTACCCAAGTTTTCAGACATTAGTTTTTTTAGTAAATACAGGAAGGATGTGATTTTATTTGTCATGCTAAATGCATTGAAAATCCCATTTTAACAGTTCAAAAACAAGTAACCTCTGCAACAGCTAATCAAAAATCCATGATTTTGACACGTTCTGTGGGTTATTCATGTCAACCTGCATGTTGCTTTATTCAAAGTTTGGGACTGAAGCAAACTTTTCTCTCTTAGATTTGTGGAACTTTGAGATTCCATCATTGTGTGAACCCTTCCTTTTCAGATTAGAGGTTTTCTCTCAACCCTGTGATGGGCTGGTGACTTGTCCAGGGTGAAACCCACTTCTAACCCAATGTCAGCTGGGATTTGCTCCAGGTCCCCCCATGTCCCTTAAAGGATAATGGATGGATGGATGGATGAATGGATGGATGGATGGATGGATGGATGGATGGATGGATAGATCTAATTTTTTCAAATTAGATCAGTTTCTTTGCTGGAATTTTCTATCCTCCAAAATATTAATTTGCCATCATAATCTTTCTTTTATGTTGTTTCCACTGCTATTGTTGTTTGATGCCTGTGACTGTGTTCAGTCGTCTGAGTAGCTTTTTGAAATCCTCCTATGCCAAATTAATGTTTTTTAAGATAATCATTCTTTTGGAATCTTCGCATTGAGAGAGTTGGGTAGAGTTATCGTTGTCTGTGACAGAAAAGAGACAGCACATAGTTGTATTTATCATCCCCACCCCCCACTTTATACCCTCACACCAATCATGCGATCTTCGTGAGTGACGTAGGGTGATGTGCATAATGGACGGAGATTAGGGTCATGGTACAGACGCCACATTCTCTCCAAGGCTGCCTCCCCGTGGATGTGCAGCAGACGTCTCATCGCGTTTCTCCCCTCAGGACTCAACAAGATCTCTGAACCTTCAGGAAAACTGGAAAATCAAAGAGAATATCAAAGAATGATAAAGCGAATCAGTCCAATGCTTTCCAATGGCATCAGTTTTCACATTAATCCATTTTAAACCAAACAGGGTTATGGACCCGCCCCAACCACCCCCGTCCAGTCCCTGGGTTAAACATCAAACAGCGACCTTTGATGCGGCGTGTGTTGGTGGGTAAACATCAGCAGACTGGGGGACTGTCAACATGCACTCCCAGAAAGAACAACTTGTCGGGTGGCACAAAGCATGCTGGGACTGGGCAAGAGGGTGCAGTGATCTTTCACTGCATGTGGACAGACGCGAATGTCAGTTCGCTGACGTGCTCTGTCATTTTTATGATAATTTTTTTTTGCATGTTTGTTTTCATGTTCGTCTGAAAGTTGCCGGCCCAGAGAAGTTTCTTGATGTTTGTAGTGGCAAAAACGAATTGAGAGCAAAATTATTTTATGAAAATGAATTGCCTCGCTCGAAACCACAGATTCTAACTGCACTTTGGACACAATCAATGGGTCTCTGTCTGCTGTAGGTTGCGTATGAGTTTGTTCCTCCCAGCTTTTGACAGTCAAGGTCCTTTGACTAGTTTATGTCTCAGGAGCGACACGCTCATGGCCTGTATCCATCCACAACAGTTAAGCATACATTTTTCTTTATGACCACAAAGCCTTTTTATTCAATTTAATCATTCGTGTTTTGCTGTAAACCACGTTGTGTTAACCTCACAATCCATCATCAGCCTGTGTGAGCATGCATGTGTGTCATGTGTAAACAGTTAAAAAACATAAATATTGAGCATGGGTAGAGTAATCTGCGCATGATGACACTGTACACAGTGAGCTGAAAATGCATCGTAATGCCCCCTGCACTTCAGGTACACCAGAGCACACAACTAAAACCCTGACCGAGGCCTGTAACGCTGCAGCAGCACACCCCCATAAACTCTAGCAATATTGTCAACAAATCCTCTTTGTTGGTGTCGGTATCCCACTTAGTAATTCACTTGATGATTCAGGGATCTTCGTTAATCAAACAAAGTCACTCTGGTTAGTGGAGATTCATCACCCCTTATGTGCAGTCATTCATCTCTATGTGCACAATACTGTCTGTGAATTGTGCAGAGAAATCCGAGCGCATCTTAACCCGGGCCGTGTCAACAACAGCAGGAGCCATATCTGTGATGAGAGGAGAGGCAGAGGATTAGAAGGGCAGCAGGGGCACAGCAGGGAGAGAAATGGGGGTGGGTGGGAGGGGGAGTGAGAGCTGGACAGGATATGGAGATGATTTTTCCCGACGTCACCATGTTCTGTTGCAACCATGTCAGGGTCTGGACACCGAGCTGCCCTCATCTCCCTGGTGATTTCACTGTCAGGGTCGGGGGCCAACGCCAGTGTCCTGCTTCCCTCCTCAAAGAGCCATAGCGTGGTCACAGCAATGTCAGCATAATGAGAGGAGCACTGAGGCATGACACAAAACAAATGGGATTGCTCTCGATCCTTGTTTCATCAACACAGAAAAGACATGGCATTATGTTATTGCCGCTGCATCTGT